CAATATACAACCTCGATACAGTTCGCTACGCCGCGGTGAAGACAGGTGTTGTGGAGAACATTACTGGCGATGCCCTAGAAACCGGCGCCGGAAGGCGAACCACAAAAGGCATGTAGGGACCATTATTCGGCATTGGGGGGTACCTGCATGGGATAACGGGTTGGACATAGGGATGTTAGAAGCCCCACTTAATCTCGGGATCAACTCGGGAAACCTAGGATTACACTCGATGGTTCCCTCCCGTTAGACCATGCGTCCCACATCTCTATCATGCGGAGGCGTAGCATTCTGTTTTCTTCAGTAGTAGCTGACTCCAGCTGTGGAATAACCGGTGTTAGGCTATCTTCGGGGTTGATAATTGGTAGACTACTTTCGGAAGCCATAGGTACCTTTCCTTTTGATCTGGTGAAGTATGGATGGGAAGCCAGATTACCAACAAAACCAACCACCTAAATAGAACCTAACTAATTGGCACACACAATAACCTTGTTAGTTTGAGACATTTAACAAATAGGAAATCGCATGTTGAGATGCAATGCACCTAAATTGTTAGATGTTTTTACCTTGTGTTTGAACGGTCGCATGTTCCATCTTGGCTTTCTTTTCTGCTCTCTTTAGGTTTTAACGCTCTCTCCTAGTCCTACTGATTTCTTCACTCTTAATTTGTTTTCCCCTCGTTTTGTCACTCTTTGTTTCTCTCATTTGTTTTTGTCGCTTTTTGTTTTTCTCTTTTGTTTATTTTATTCTCACTCAAATTATTTATAGCTATGATCACATCCGATGAGTATTGCCTACGTATCATGACGCCACAGGAATCTGACAATTACGTAGTTCAGGAAAATAATGTAAAAATAAAAGAAAGAATTTTGGGTTTTCATTACAAAGACTCGAAATGACAGCAAACACTAACTCTAGGAAGGACATATAGACTTAAAACAACAACAGACTCGAAATGGACAACAAACAGACTCTATGCGAAAACAAAACATACAAACTCGATTAAGAAAACAAAACATACAGACTCGATAAAGAAAACTAATACAACGGGAAATGACTCGAGACTTCCGAAGAACACTCCAATTGGGGCCCAAGGAATCATCTATCTGCCAGCTTGACGTAAAGAAATTCTTGATCGGCCATGACCTTGTGAGCGAAAGCTATCGCCAAGGCTGAGAACATAGCTTTAGTCATATCTTCACATTTGTTGCATTTCATTGTGGTGTAGTCAGCTATTTCTTTGATTCTGAGCTTAGTAGCATCCGGTTCCTGGAACAATCGTATAATCTGCTGTTCTTAGACTTCCACTACTCGCCCGGTTCTATTGTTCTGGTTTTGCAGGTTTACTACATCACCTTCCAGCTTGTTGAGCAACGCGTAGCAATGTTTCCTTTCTACTTCAAATTCCTTGGACTACCGACCGAACGCCTCTTCCAGGGCACCCAATTCTTTCCTAAGGGCGAAGACCACTTCTTCGTGATGTTGCTTCGTCTGCTGTGACAACCTCACACAGTTATTTGTCTCCTCTTTTAGTTGGCCAGTCTTTTTTTTGGCTTTTCCCAATGCCTTTTCAGTATTTTCAAGAGTGGCATCATAATCTTGCATTTTTTCTAGCAGACTGGCAATAGTTCTTTGGTCTTTCTAGTTTCTGACCTGCACTTCAGAGGCTTTCTTCACTAGTTGAAGTTGAGCGTAGAAGACTTCATTTTTGCGGATCTGACTCTTCTTTTCACATTCAGCTTCTTGTGCTTGTAAGTATTTCTCAGAATTGAGGTTTCTCAGCTTTTTTTCTAAAGCATGGATAGTTGCCTGGTATCCAAATTCCTTTTCTCCCCAGGCCAACTGCTCTTGGATCTTATCATCAAAGGCTTGAACATGCGCGCCTTTCAGGCTCGAGCTCATAATCTACACAGTACCTCTTCCCAAACCACATAGCATAACCCGGATCTACCTTACCCCTTGCAGGATCCGGCACTTGGGTATCATCTTTCAAGTAGCGACAACCATCCCAAATTTTCTGAATTAAAGCCTTGGGGAGTGGGGATTCTAGGTGTAGCTCAATCACCTGCACACTCAAATCTTAATCCTCATGCACTACCTGGTACCTTCCTAGCTGTCTCAGAACTCTTTGTGGTGCATAGGGCTGGACACTTCTCAAGCCCAACAGTATCAAATAACTTTTCAAGGCCGATGTGTGTATCACCTCTCTTACCGGGAGCCATCCCAAAGTCCACTCAAATTGAATTGCGTTTAAATATCTTAGGAGGCATATCCAGGCTTTCACCCCTTCTGGCGAGTTGTAATCTCTTACTCTTTCTTCGTAACTCTCAATGAAATTATCCTTGCTTGGAACATAGCTCATGAACTTGGGGTGATGCCGAAGATGCTCAATCAACCACATTTTCAATAAAACATTGCACCCTTCGAAGAATTTTGCCCCGAACTTACACAGAGTCAACGCCCCATAGATGTCTGATAGAATGATCGGGGCAAGAGTGTGATATTCTTTGGTAGTGAGGACATGTACAACCCTTGTCTATGCGGGTATCAATTGTCCGCTCCGCATTTGGGCAGACCATAATTCCCAAAAATGTCACTATGAAGGCGAACCGGCGGTGAATCTGCATGTGTCCTTATTTTGCTTGTTGTTAAGGCCCTTTTCATGTATTTCAAATCCATTTGGCTGCCTGAACCTAGAGTAAGGGAAGTAGAAAGAACAGCACCCTTCGACTATGTTGGTCTTTCGGATTTTCTTACCGATGTTCAGAAGATCGAAGAACCGATGTACAGAGAGAGACCTTGGGAATATGAGCTTCTGGCTTCTCAAATCCATGCCAAACCCAGGATATCCAGCTATCTCTTCTAAGGTGGGAGTGAGCTCAAAATTAGAGAAGCGAAAGACATTGTGAACGGGATCCCAAAAGGCCACTAGTGCCTCGATCAAATCATCCCGTGGTTTAACTTCATAATATCCGTGAATGCTCCTATGTGCTTGGTGACCCAGTTTCGCCCGTCTTGCCCCAAGCCATACCACCACATCTGAAGCTGAAGTGGAGCCTCGTCTACAACCGTCAACGGTGTGTTCTGGACAGTGCTCATATTGTACCTATAGGTGGTTAAGGTTAGGATTGACACTAGTTTAAAAGACAAAACCAATGCACTCTTTTTGCAAAACAATCTTTTGCAAATAACCCAATTTTTAAGAAAAGTCAAAGAGAGGGTGGCTATTTTTGCAATTGTGGCCAAGGAAAAGGTGGCTATTTTGCAACTATGGCCCCTTCGTACTTCCAAGGAAAGCTTTAGGGCCTAGGGGAGGACATTATGATAAAAGTGACACCCAATTGACAAATATGTCCGTTCTTGCGAGAATAGCGCTTTAACAATTTGAAGATGTTTTAAGGCTATTCCGACAAAAAACGGCTCAGGATTAACTGAAGTTGGGTCGGCTTATTTGTTTTGACACAAACACTGGGCACATATGTTTTTTGGTTACTTTTGCAAAAAAATAGGGCCGAACCCTACGAAGGTTGCCTACGTATCTCATGACCGATGATAATCTGACCCGCGTAGTTCGTAATTTTTGACAAAACAAGGAAAACATGACACTTAAGAATTTTGGCTCATTTTGAAATGACCTTTCTTTTCTTTTTTTAACATTCGACAGAGTTTCAGAATTTTTCAAATACTATAATTTTTAGAAACGTGATGAATTTTCTCTCTCTTACCTCTCATTCTTGCTTTTGAAACTTTTCTCTCCCTATTCTAAAAATCGGTCAACATGCAGATTAGATCAAATAAAATTCACTAGTAGCACGTAAGATGCATCAGGATAGTCTTGTAATTTTGGATACACTTGTCCTAGACGGACCCAACACTGGTGTTGGGTCCCCAAAATCAAATGCACATGATGCAAACAAATGTTCCTACTAGGGATTTGGCATGAGGCTATGTTATTCTAGGTTTAAATTATGGGGATGTGCTTTAGACCCGGCTTACCCAAGCGGACAACTCGAGCCGAGGTGGGAACAGCGTACCGGGAGCACAAAAGTCTATCCGGCCTGGTTACTGAACGAGACCCGTTTTAATTGGTATGACCTATAACAGAAAAGTGACGTGCACGTGTGCACCATAAATTCAGAAGACTCAGAAGGAGGCGTAAGAAGACAGCTTATACAGTTCAAATAATATCAAAGCGGTAAATGGGCGGCAATTAGCACATTAGACTCACAAACACAGTAATATCATACAATCAATAAAGCCAGTATAATCACATTACAAGCTCGAATTCTGAACCCTGAACCAGAGATTCTGGGGTTCGATCCCCAACAGAGTCGCCAGAGCTGTCATACTTTCTTTTTAGGGAGAAAGGAATTTTTTCAATTTAAGTGATATTATTAAAATGGGATTAATTTAATTTATTTTTATAGAGTTGCCATTTGGAATAATTATTTACGGTGTCCCAAGTCACCATTTATTTTAAATCCCAAATAAAGAAAATTTTTAACTCTATTAAAGTCTGCGAAACACAGAAGAGATTACATAAGAGAGTTTGAATATTATGGAATGAATTATTGAGCAAGATGTGCAATTACTTCAGCTAAGGTTGTATTATTAGTTAATTTCTAAGGCATCTCATTCATGTTCATGAAGCTACGAGATAGTTTGTCGAAGTCTGGGCTTATTAATAGCTACTCAATTTTACGAAAGACAATCAGCTAATAGTGAAGGGAAATTGATCACAACGATTAACATGTTTCCTTTTGCCTTCTTGAATCTGGTGAATCAGGTGAGAGATGCAAATGGGCCCAGTAACAGGCCCAGCTGGCGTGATGGACGAGTGTTGGATTCTGTAACCTATTTTAGGCCCAAAGTCAGGCCATATGTAAGGCCACCATTCCAGTTACGATTATGGCCAATAATTGTCTATACTAGCCACTACTCTGACTTTTGCCAGATTCATTTCTAGTTCTACGCAAACAAAAGGAATTGGCGTTAATAACCAATAAAAAAGAATCGTGATTGTGTTTATATATGCATTCAAATGGCAAAATAGCCAAATTTTAATAATCATAACAATGACTCAAATATTGTGATTAGAATGATTTTCTATCCTTATCCAGATCTTCATGCTATCAGAAAACTAACTGCGAATAAGCATCATCTCCAAAGCTTGCATTTGAATTTCACAACTAACTAAAATCCTAGAATTTACAACTAAGCCTCTTAATTACAATCCTTAATGAAATCAACAAGGAATAAGTAGTTTTACTATACTTACAGTTTATTTATAACAATATCCAAACATAAACAGAAGATGCTCAGCTCTTAATTCAAGCATGCCCATCATCAGAGTGTTTAATCCCACTTTTTGGCTTCAAATTTAACAACCTGACCAATTAATGATTAAATCTGTAAGTCACAGCCAAACAAGACAATAACAGCCGCCTCTTATCACCCATTACTACAATCGATAGCATTTTTTTATTAAATTCACATTTAACAGTCATAATATACAAATCAACAGTGGAACAACACCAAACTTGGCATAGAAAAAACAGGATTCACATTTCACATACTATCAATCCAAAATGAACATATTCTAGTTCGATTCTAGAGATGAACACCTAATCAGAAAAGTATTCAGTACCTGAACAGTAATAAGAGATCTTAGAATAGCCAAAAAGGCCAGAAGTAAATCCAGCTACTAGTTGATAGAGAACAGCAATAAAATAGCAGATAATCCCAACGAGATCCAATTTTGAAGCCCAGAGATGCAGAGGATTTGTTTTGAACCAAATAGAAGCAGCTACAGTTTTTTTTTTTTTTGTATTGTTTTTAATTAAAAAAAACCGACCTAAAATCTACTTAGAGCTTTTCAGATCTGGAATCCTGAATTTCAGAATTTTCACCCTTTTTTGGTATTTTGGAGCGTGAGTGTATGAAAAGTGTGAATGTAGATGAGTGAGAGTGAAGCGGTCCCTATATGGGTGTGAAGAGTGTCCTGTTACATAAAAATGCAGAGAATCTTTTTCAGTTATTTCTTTCTTTTACATCCCTCTTCTTTTAGTTAATACTTCTCTTACCCCTAAAACCCGACCCCTTTTACTCTTTTCTAGTACAAAATAGTCCTTTCCCTATCTCCTGGAACTTTCCAGGTTGTTAACAGCCTTAGTTTAGTTTCCCAAATACCCCTTCAACTTTTATAATTACACTCTTTGCCCTCTGTTCTTATCACTTTTCCTTTTTAGATTTATTTTTATCCAAATCCCTAAAACCCAGGCTCAAATCAACAAAACGAAAACAGAAAGAAAAATGAACGACTAATCAAATAGACAAGTCAATTTTAATCAAACAACAGTTCATGCTAAACAAAGTAATCAAGATACGCCTAATTGAATTTTTATACTCATTTATCAACTAATAAAAAATTCTGCAATTAACACTTAATCAATCTGAAACATGATTTGACACCATTGTATTTAACAGAACAAATACACACACAAAAATGAAACAAGAAAAGAAGAAAGTGAATGAGTTACACCCATTTGATCTCGAGATGAAGCAAAAGAGGTGACCTTAGAAAAAGTTCTGGCCGGTCAACGGCTGGTTGACCAAAATCTGACCTCCGAGAAACGGAGTGAATCTTACATCAGTGGATAGCTCTGATAAGCAGCTTTCTACTGATATAAGTCTCAACCGTAAAAGAGAGCAGATCGATCGAGGAAATAAAGAAGGACCGAGTGGAGGCTAGGGTTCAGTTCCTAGATCTACATTCGAAGGATTCATTGAGGTTCTGGAAGAAGCTAAATGTGGGATGGTCAAGAGGAGAAAGCAAGAAATATCTGGTGATAATTTGGGGCTAGTTGGAGGTTGGTCGCCGCGGTGGGCGAATCCCGGCGATGGCGTGTGGCGGAGGCTGAGAGAAGGTAGAGGGGGATGATCTGAGAGGGGTTTTGGGGAAGTCCGAAACTTATATAGTGCTTTTTTGGACATACAATATATTTTTACTGTTAAAAAAAAAAGTTACATAACTACATGCGAATTACTTTAACGGAAAGTTAGCCGTTAAAGTAATTATTAAAAAAATAATTTTTTTAACACTTTGCAATATAATACTGCGAACAACCCCACTATATCTGTGATACTTTCGATTTTTTATTCATATAAACGAAGTTGAATTCTCCATTGATTATTATTCTATCTTACTTAAGTTCTTTCCTCAATATTTTAATACAACATGCTTTCATAACTAATTTTCAAATGCCAATCTAAAATAAAGAGGAAATCAAGTGTTCGTTTTATTGTTAATTAATGCTAATTAAAGGTTAATATGGTCAATTTTATTGCTAATTAATGCTAAAAGATGGATTTCTTAATCTGTATAAAAACATCCAAAAAATCACTTATTTTGGACCGGAGGGAGTATCGCTAATAAATATTTTTATTTGGCACAAAATTTGAAACTTAGTAATAATAACGATTACATCTTAAGCCTTTGGTCAAATGTTAATGATATGAAATTTTCAAACGAGAAAAAGAACAGACCTTTAATATTGTCAATCTTATCTGAAGGATAAATTGATAAAATTACATACTTATCTAAACTGAAAAAAGTATTAGTAAAAGTTCACGTAAATTATGTATAGTTATTCACTCTACTCATTATTATTCTTATATATAGCAAATTATGGCATTAGTAAATAGTAATGTGATTATTTTTAATATATGGATAAGCATGTATAAAAAGATATTGGATTATGACCAATAATTCAATATTCAATGTATGAAACCTCACGAAGGTTCCAAGTAACACAAGATTGACAAGGGAGGAAGTTCACCTTCTGGAAGCTTCTTTTTGGTGTCTATGTTCCTTTAATTAATGCTTTCTAATTCAACAACACATATTAGCTAATCTCTTTATGGCCAAATAGTCAAATACACGTTCTACGGTTGCAATTTTGCAATTTTTTTATATCAACCCATTTCATTGAACTTCTTCTCATTTTTCTCTCTCTAATTTTTTAATTTGGTGGGGACCTCTTTTCCGAAGATCGTATTTTATTTATTTTTAATTTGATTACTTGCAAGAGATATGATATTTTTTTTTTGGTCCAAAATAAACTAGTTATATTAAGTTTGCGGTGACATAGTACAAGAAACTAAATTTGATAGTATACATAATTCTCCTAGTTGAAATAGCCTTAATCCTCATGGATAAACATGATAGTCTTACCTACATTCAAATACGTCGTTCACATCTTTTTTCCGGGGCGTACTCCGAGGCGTTTGAGGTGCATTTTTTTATTGAGGTGTAAGTCCTAGAGGCCTTTTCAAATCAAAACAAAATTTGTGAATTAGTCCTTCATATAATATCCAATTTTTCAAACGTCAGCTTGGTAATTACTCAAAAAATTAAAAAGGAACTGAAATGCATTAAATTTAAACGTCAAGACCTTTTTTTATTGATTGAAGCCTTAATTCATGGTATTTCTCAATTTTTTATCTTGTCCGCTAGTCTGTTAATATCTCCCAAAAGCAACGATTTTTCTATTTTTTTTTTTACAAATACAAAGAGAAGTTCGTTCTCCTTCATAGCAGCAAGTTCAAGGTTCAAATTGCAGTTTAGTCATCTTTTCTGTTCCTCCATGTAGAAAACTTTATTCTTTTCGACTCAAGTTACTTGTACTTCTAAGTAGCATATAATATATTTTTTTGAGTAGCTTTTTTTGGGGGATGGAGCACATCTTATATATATATATATATATATATATATATATATCATATTTTTATAGTTTTTTTCAATTTTTATGCAATTTTACTTGTTTATTAATATTTACCGTAATTATATTATTTTATAAAATATTAAAAATTAAATACATATGGGGCTTACGCCCAGTGCCTCAGGGATTACGTCTTGCTGAGGCATATATAAAACGCCTCCCCTTACGCCACGCCTTTTAAAACACTGATTCAGTTGGCACAAATTAAGATGTTAATTTTTTATAGATAAGTGCGACTAAAATAAATATTAAAATAATTTCTTTTTTTTCAATAGTTATTCTAATACTTTGTCTAATTCTTTTTCTTATACTTTCTCTAATTCTACTTATATAATAGTTTAATAGTTCAATGTTAATTTCAGTATGTTATAAAAATTATATCCTTATAGAATGAATAAAATATTCAAATGTAATTAAATAGCAAGGATGTCATATAAATAAGGATTAAAACGAACACTTGATTTCCCCTTTATTTTAGATTGGCATTTGAAAATTAGTTATGAAAGCATGTTTTATTAAAATATTGAGAAAAGAACTTAAGTAAGATAGAATAATAATCAATGGAGAATTCAACTTTGTTTATATGAATAAAAAATCAAAAATATCACAGATATAGTGGGGACCACAGGAAGTTAGGAGTCGAACGTTGCTTCTTTATTTTGGTGGGTTGTTCGCAGTATTATACTGCGAAGTGTTAAAAAAATTATTTTTTTAATAATTCGCAGTATAATACTGCGAATCATTTTAACGGCTAACTTTCCGTTAAAGTAATTCGCAGTATTATACTGCGAATTATGTAGTTATGTAACTTTTTTTTAACAGTAAAAATGTATTTTGTGTTCAAAAAGGCACTATTTAAGTTTCGGACTCGATTTTAGGGTAGGGGTGGTCGTTTCGGACAGTTATAAGGGGAACACAATATTAGTTGTCGATCATTGGATCAAGTGAGATGAAGGGTGGGGATTAATTCGGAAAAAAAATGCGGTTGTTTGGTATTGCGGAAAGTCTGGACCAGGTGAGTTAATGAACTGGGCGGGGTATTGAAAGAAGAGATTTTTTCTTTCCTATACCATATATGAAACCTTATTACCAAAAATGTGCATAGTTTCTAATTTACCCGCCCTGTCCACATACAGTCATTATACCAATCATTAAATACTAATTAATAGTAGCTGAATCTTCCTAATTTGTCGAGCTAAAATTGAGGAATAAAATATTCTAAAAAGATTTGGCGTAAATCAGATCAAATCATATTCTTCCAGATATTCCTATTTAGGCGCGCTACAATTATGGAAGTACATATTTTTCCAGATATTTTCCACCATTGATATCCATTAAAAAGCTTGAAAGCTTTGATTCAAATTTGGGTTTTCAAAAATCATTATTTTTTGGATTGGGTGTTGTTGAAAATAATCGGGAATATGGTTTGGAGTTTATATCTCAATTTTGAGGGGTTTTGGTGAAGATTAGACTTGATTTTGACTGAAATTCAGATTGAAACTCGAAGAAGAAGAAGAAGAAGAAGAAGAAGAAGAAGAAGAAGACATATTGCAGAAATTGTAGATAAATTGTAGATTATTTGTATTCTGATTGTAGATGCTTTATTTTCTGTTTTCACAAATAAAAAACGGCTAAAACTTCTACAAATCTTCTGAAAAAACGTAATTATGTCAAATATCACAATTATGCTACAATTGGATGGGAATTGGGATATAAAAATCCAATGTACCCAGTTTGTAAATATTTTGTAGATAAATTGTAGGTTATTTGTATTCTAATTGTAGGTGCTTTGTTTTCTGTTTTTACAAATCAAAAACGACTAAAACTTCTACAAATCTTCTGCAAAAAATGTAATTATGTCGAAAATGCCAATTATGCTACAATTGAAATGGGAATTGGGATATTAAAATTCAATGTATCCAGTTTGTAGATATTTTGTAGATAAATTGTAGATTATTTGTATTCTGATTGTAGATGCATTGTTTTCTGTTTTCACAAATCCAAAACGACTAAAACTTCTACAAAATCTTCTGCAAAAAATAGTCTATAATTTTTCTATAATTTATCTACAATTTCTGCAATATGTCTTCTTCTTCTTCTTCTTCTTCTTCTTCTTCGAGTTTCAATTTGAATTTCAGTCAAAACTAAGTCTAATCTTCACCAAAAACCCTCAAAATTGAGATATAAACTCCAAAACATATTCCCAATTATTTTCAACAACACCCAATCAAAATAAATAATGATTTTTGAAAACCCAAATTTGAATTGAAAGCTTCAAAGCTTTTTAATGGCTGTTAATGGTGGAATTGCTGCTCTCTTGTCTCTTTAAAGGTTTGTTCTTCTTCATTGAGAAAATTTGAAGCTGAAGGTAAATGTGTGTATGAACTTTGAAGATTTGACTTCAATTTTGATGAACTTTGTTGTTCTTCATTGATGAACTTCAACTAGAGTAAAATGGGGAACCAACTTTGTTGAAGGATTTCTTCAATTTTCTGTGAATTTAGAGGGAGAATTTGGTTTCAGAAGATGGAAAATGGTAAAAAGAACGTGGGTATGGGTAAAACGTGGGTGGGACTGAGGGGTTAGGAGAGAGAAACGTGCAGATTCCTTTAATTAAGGAGTAAAAAATGTACAATTAATTATACCCTTAATTAATTATGGTATAGAATTGGTAATTTGGTATACTAAGTGTAATTAAGTCAAACCTTAACATTGAGGGTAATAAGGTTTCCTATGTGGCATAGGAATGTAAAAATCTCTTGAAAGAAAACTGGGGATCAAATGTTTAGCCCAATTACAATAGGGAATAGGCGTCCCCTTTCTCTTTTCTCTTTTTATTGGGTTTTCAAAGTTGGCCAATTAGCTAAGCATTCTAGTTTGGGCATCAACTCAGTCTACTAATTGGCTAAAATTATTTTTTTTATTAGCATTAAATAGCCAATAAATGTATATCACAATAATAATATGTATATCAAAGTGTATATCAGAATCTTAGTTTTCTTTTTATGTATATCAAAATCTTATTTTCCTACTTTGTTATATTTAAAATATAAAATTATAAATATAATTGTTTATCATTTATTGTTATGTTTATATCTAAGTGTATAACACAAAAATAATTGTGCTGTTTGTATATCACTATGTTAACACATCAAATAATATGTATATCAAAATGTATA